GTGCTATTATCAGGAATTGGTGACACTTGATGCAGCAAGTTTTTGGTTTTTTTTACTCTTACCTGCAATGCTCCCTTTTGTATTAGTGTCTTAAAACATTTTTGTTTGGTTTTGTGTTAGAAATGTCAAGGCTATGTAAGTGGGTTAGTTGTGGATAACCAGTGTGATATTCCATAGTCTAGAACTCTGCATCAGCTGCTGGATCTATTTATCTTCTTTTGAGGGTGTTCCTTAAACCGTAAGCTCCTAACAGCTTTGTTCAACCAAAATCAATGTGATACGGCAGGCTTTTTCAGCAAGCATTTTGTTCCTGTTTCTCACAGATGGTCTGCCTCCCAAAAAGACCAACTCCTCAGAACATAACTGTAGCCCACGTCTGTTTCAATGCAAGAAAAGATTAACTAGTTTCCATCTTGCATTAAAAAAGGAGATGTTAATATTGTATTAAGAACAATGTATTCATACAGTTCAGTATGTCTGTCGCTTTTTTGGAATCCTGAAAATGTGGCTTAATCTTGTGACAACATAAAAAAAAGATGTTTCTAAACTGGAAGGCTAGTAGTTTTTGCTGGGTGTTACAGGTAGTTGGCAGTTTTTGAGAAAGGGCATGGCACGCCAGAGGCAGCTCTGCTGCTTTGCAGTACCTAGGTTTGTGGTAGGCAGCCGTGGCAATTCCCCTGTCCCGCTGGCGGTAGGGTGTGTGTGCAGCCCGTGACACACTCGAGGTATCTCAAGGTATCTCTTTAAGAGGAATCTGTTTGGATTGTTGTTGCCTTAAAAGTTTAATGCAGTGTCTGAGAACATTCAACATAGTCTCAGGATGACTCATGGATTTTAGCTTGTTATTTCCAAACAGCTCGCTCTCTTCAAGTTCTTCTTACGTTGAGTGTTTGAGAGCACATAAATACTTCATTAAAAAGAGAGAGAGAGACAGATTGAGACACAATAATGGGGCAATATGAGTACCTGGACTAGATACCTAAATAATACTGCTAATAATTCTGATGAATCATTTTTGAGCAACAGGAGGCACTCCCATCCCATAGGCTAAGCACATTGCCTGCACAGTTCTCTTAACCTTGAGAATGGAAAATGAGAAATAGCTGAAACCTGTAAGGTAGTGCTAACTACCAGTAGATCACTGAACAAGCCACATACCCTGAACTGCGGCTCCACTGGTCTTTGTTCAAAATTTGCTTATCAAATCAGGCAGTTACACTTTTTTTTTTTTTTTTTCTTTCTCTGTGTATGTACATAATTATTCAGAACTCTTTAGGTGGTAGGCTTAGATGTTCTGGTAGATGGTAAGAACTAGGTGCAACTGTTCACTTTTATACTGTGTTCATCTCTATGCGCTGCATATGTCTGCAACTACTGTGGCAATACCGAAACAATTCTTCCTGGAGGCTGGATGGAACCTCTGTGTTCAGGATAGCCAGTAATTTCTTTCCCATATGGGATAGGCCTAGCTACATTAGGGAAAAAAACATTGAGGACAGGAATCTCTGTTCTACAGAATGCCGTTTATTCTGCTGAGGATTGCAGTAATGATGTTCTTTGGATCACCCTAATTAAAAAAAAAAAAAACAAAAAAAAAAACCAGAAATTAAAAGGAGCAGTACATTTTAGATACGTATTTTTAAAAAAGCAAGAGAAGAGAAAGAAGTTCATGCAAAAGACAGTTAAAGGAGGGGCTGTAAAATATGAAAAAGGTGAAGTATGTTGGATAGAAATTCTCAAATTTCAATGTTGTTTATAGTGTGGTATAACCTGTTATGGATGGAAATTTTTACTTCACAAAGCTTACATTTGATTTTTCTCTTCTAAAATACTTCCATTGCTGTGTGATATTTCTCTTCTGTATTGTACTTTGTATCCTTTGACGCACACAAAATCTAGGGGGAACTGGGTTTCCCCTTTGTGAAAATAGACTATTAAAAAAAATTAAGCAACACCAGCAAAGGATTTCAGTCTCCTCCTTTGTTCTAATTTGTTGTTCCTCTGCTAATTTTAATTTTTTGTTTGTTTGTTTTAAATCTTCTTTCAACTGTAGAAGTCTATTGTTTGTCAGAAAACAAATTTCGTAGGTACAGGCACATCCTAATTATTGCATTATATATCTGCTATTCTTTTGACTTTGCTGGAAGTCTGAAGAGCAAGTGGTAAAGACTGAACAATTAGGATTAAATAGAAAATATTGGTTATTAAGACCAACCTGAAATTCTCCATCATATGAAACTGACTTCTTTTGCATACTGGTTCAGAGGTAAAGTTCACTGCAACAACTTCTTAAACATCTGCTGTAGTGTCTGCAATGCAAACAAGCTTAGACTGCATAGTCCTCAATCCTGTCTTCCCTCATGTTGTCTTTAGTGTAGTCTACATACTTGAAAAACTCTTTTTCTGAATACAAAAAATAGCAAATACTACTGTGTGTTTTAACATCACTTCTGCTTTTTCTTTTTTTTCAAAAGCATTTTATTACAGATAATTCTTCCTGGTTTACAGTAGACATGAAAATACTCAAAATTATAGTTTATCAAAACACTTCATACTATAATTTTAAAATAATTTCTTCTTCTAGAATGATGACTGCTTGACTGCACTGGGGGTGAAAGGAGGGAGCAGTTGTCCACTAGAGCAAGAGACAGTAAGTATTATGTAATTTTTTGCTGTATCTTCTATACCTGTTACACTGTATCTGTGCTTTTGAAAGCACATTCTTATTTTTTTTTTTAGCATGATCCCAAGGATTTTTTTTGCTACAATTCTGACAAACATGTTCATAACCAGCATAACCACATTACTACTGTTTTTATATCACTCTTGAAAAAGAATTTTGTAAAATTTTGATGATTTTATTTTTTTTTTTTCTTGAACTTGGATCCAGACAGAAATCAACACATGTCTGAATGTCACACCAAAAGAAATTCCATTGCTTTGGGCATAACTGTGCATGTTTTACATTCTTCTTTGGTTCTGAAGTGCATTTTCTGTATCCCCTTATGGTCATTTTCTGATCATATGTCTCAAGAGAATATAATGGCAATTCCCACATTTCATTTAAATTTTCAGGCTTGCTAAACCAGTTGTATTACAGGACACATTGGTATTTTAATTTCTTGTTTCTGGGAGACAGACAGTGGAACTTGCTTGATTGGTTTGAACTGTTTGTTGGCAGTATTTCCATGCTACTGAATTTTTGTAATTTTTTCCAAAACCCAAAACATTTACACTACAACTGTCTTACAAAAGACACTGCAAAAAGAAGTATTTGTTGTTCTGCCTTTCATTGTTTTTCATGCTGACAAGTAATTAGTTACATTACTCTTTTTGTTTTTCTTTTTTTTTATTATTTTTTAACCTCAAGTGACCTCATGATTTTCATAGTCCCATCACTACGGAAACCGTTGCCACTTCACTGAAGTGGACACTGTTAGAGCACCCCTTACTGGACATGGTCATACAAGCTTCCAGTACTGCACTGTTTCTCTATGGTGGCCATTAGTGTGTTTTAGTTTGATTCTAGTCTATAGTTCATATTTCTATATTGTCAGCATCACTTGTAATTACTGTATTAGCTTTCCGAATGCAGGGAGAAGGGTTATGATAAAGGATATTTTGCTGTTTGGCTTCCTTATGTAGGTTTGGAATTACTGAATGCATATTTAGATAAATTTCCTGTCTACTGAGAACTATGCTGGTACTAATTCTTTGAAGCTGAGCAGCTCGCAAATTACCACATAGAATTTACAATTGTAGAATCATTTCCATCTTTTCTCATTCATAACTGATTTAATCTGTTTAATTGGTGACATGGAATTATGAAAATACAAGTGACATTGGCTGTATTTTTACACACATAACTCACAGGTGATCTCACTCAAAATAGAATTACAAATATAAAAAGCACTGCACTAGTCAGCAGTCTTAGGATTTAAATTCATGCATGAGTAATAAAAAAAAGGAAGTTTTTTTCTCCAAACCCCTGTATTCATACATACTTCGCTGTCTACTTCGATCATCTATAACATCCTGTCACTCCTAATGATAGCCCTGTTTCTGACCTTTTATAATTTTGTAGGGA